ACTATTTTTATCTAATCTGTATTAAGGTATCATTGTGCATCTTTGGTCTTGCAGTGTCATGATAATACGATTTGCTCCATGCCTGTGTGTATAAAAAAATGAAATCAGCTTGCCTGAATAAATCCCATCACTAGGAAGAACTGAAAAGATTACTCATGAACTCCAGTTTTTTCCATTTCTTCTTCTCAGTAGCAACTGAACTTTTGGGGGTGTTTTGTTTACTGTTAAAAATGGATAAAAGAGCATTAGAATGGGGTATTGATTTAAACATGCTGTGCCAGAAATATTGGATATCGTTGTGCACAAAAGTCTTTTGGGGGGAAAAAAAGAGTCGGGGAAAACTGCAGTATTACTTCCAGGGAAGGTAAATGTTATTAGCAAAGGAAATCTGAGAACTGTATATGGTATTCGAGATAATCCTGGGAAAATTTAAGTCCTAATCTTAAAAGTTAAATAATTAGTTCAGTGGGACTTTGAATTATCACAAAATTCTAGAACTTTTGTATGTATGCATGTATGTATGTATGTATGTATGTATGTATACACACACACACACACACACACACACACACACACACACACAAATGGGAAAGGACCCCATATTACTCCACAGTGGATCTTACTGAGTACATATACACACAATCCAACTACAAATCCGAATTATTTGATGAACAGTGGAAAATCTTTTAGACCATTATTATGATGAGTATTTATAAGTATGCAACTTTGTATGCACGTAGTCCTCGATTTACGACCACGGTAGAACCCCCAGATCTTTGTTGCTAAGTGAGACATTTGTTTAGTGGATTTTGCCCGGTTTTATGATCTTTCTTGCCGCAGTTGTTAGGCGAATCACTGCAGTTGTTAATTTAGTGACCTGGTTGTTAAGTGAATCTGGCTTTCCCATCGAATTTGCTTGTCAAAAGGGCACAGAAAGTGATCACATCACTGTCAAGCCTGCAGTCATATTCCTTTTTGGAATCTTTGGCCTGCCACACGCTTTATTATTCTACTATGCTGTTTCATTAGTGGGGCAATTGGGAGGGGGAATAGTAAGGAGTAGAATGTGTCGTAGTCAAAACAAAACATTCCTTTCTAGAAGCCCAAGGTCATTCTTTGTCTCCGCACTGCTGCACCTGACCGGAACTAGATGGGTTCCCACAGATGTGCCAACATGTCTCTCTTAATAAATTGTAAGTTTGACGAAAGTTCTGCTTTGGGCTCTGATTTAATTTTGGATGATATTTGGAACGCTGGCGATGACCTTGGGACATTGCAATTGTCATAAATATGAGTGTAACCATGGGGATTCTGCAATGGTCGTAAGTGTGAAAAAATAGTCATAACTCAGCCTTTTTCAGGGCCCTTGTACCTTTGAACAGTTACTAAATGAACTGTTGTAAGTTGAGAGCTACCTGTACATGAGGTATGCTTATTTTATATGGTTTGTATAATTAAAAATGGTTAGGTTAATTCTTGGGTATATAGCCCACCGATCTTTTTCCAGAACATTTTTTCCTTTGAACCAGGATGCATTTGATTCAAATCAAGTCTATTTAAATCGCGATCTAAATCATGATTTAAATCACTAGTAAAAAGGCTTGATTTAAATCAACTCGATTTAGATCATAATTTTTAAAGAGCAACTGTCACCTCTGCCCCGTAGCGGCTCCTCCTCTGACCCGCTGTTTACACACCAACTATCCCAATATTGCAGAATATACAGCCTCCTCATGCTATATAACCAAGCTCCCTTTCATGCTGAATAAACTAAATTATTAATGTATCTTAAATGGAAAACTACCTTTAGATGGATTTTTACTCCAAAAGCATTTCATTAAAATAAATTTGATTTAAAAATCCAATTTAAATTTTAAAAAATCCATATTTTTAGTGGGTAGAGTGTAGTACTGCAGGCCACTTCAGCTGACTGTTATCTGCAGTTCGGCGGTTCAAATCTCACCGGCTTAATGTTGACTCAGCCTTCCATCCTTCCGAAGTAAAATGAGCACCCAGACTGTTGGGGGCAATATGCTGACTCTGTAAACCGCTTAGAGAGGGCTGAAAGTCCTATGAAGCGGTATATAAGTCTAACTGCTGTTGCTATTGCTATTCCTCTTCAGTCTACTGGGCCTGCTGGAGAAGATTCCAGAAAAAAGGAATCTTCCCAAGTATTTTGCACTATCCTGTTTTCTAAATGGCCAATTTAATGCTGTAATTTATACTGTTCAGTACTGTGGACCAACTTCAGGGTTTTTTAAAGAGTCTTACCAGGCTAAAAAGAAGGATGATTTGCAGATAGATTGACATTTAACGGCTAATTAAATACAGTCATATAATTGGACCTACATTTTCTAACTTTTATTTGACACTGCGTTCAGGAAAAAGTACTGACATTTTTAAAACGTAAGAAATTACTTGAATTGCATTAAGAATTAAAAGTAAAAAAAAACCCTGCATGTTCTAACTTTTAGGT